CAGGAATGCACAGGAACGGAGTTCCGGCTGGTTTCCAAGTTGGCCACGCCCAGCAGGAACTCGTTAGTGTAATAGGCCACACCCAACAGCAGAAACTCATTAGGATTGGCTACATTAGGGGTGTGTGCCCTAACATGCAAAGGAGTTCCTGCTACAAAAAAGCCCTGGGTTTTGACAACAAACAAGGTAAACAGAATAACAAGCAAAAGGTGGGTGTGGCTGGATAACCACACTTCTGGTAACATGGGGGTGCGGCCTAATGTGCTAATGAGCTGTGCTGGCAGGGGCGTGGCCTAATATGCTAATTAATTTCTGGTGTTGGGTGTGGCCTATTATGCTAATGAGTTCCTGCTGGGCGTTTTCTACAAAAAGAGCCCTGCTGCTGATCACCCTCCCTTCCCCAAACTTTGACTTCCCCAAGCTCCCTCCAAATCTCCACAAATTTCCCAACCCATGTCTGGGATCCCTACTAGGGTTGCCAAATCTCTCTTACCTCCTCGGCAGGGGATCGCTGGCCATCTCCCGGTGCGCGCGCACACCACATCTACGTCACCCGGATGTGATGTCACACGCTGGGGCGGGGCCATAGCCATTTGAGGGGAAAACTCTATGTTTTCCCCTCAAATGGCGGTGGCCCCGCCCCAGCATGTGACGTCACATCCGGGTGACGTGCACGCGGGAGTGGGGTTTCCCCCGGTCCCCGATTCCGCGGGGGTGGAAATCGGGGCTCGAAAGCGGGGGGAAATCCGCCCCCCGGGGGCATTTGGCAGCCCTAATCCCTACTCATGACATTCTTTGTGGAACCAGCCAGGGTTAGAGAGAATGCCACGAAGGGCTGACATTTCTGAACTGCTAGCAGAGCTGGGGAAATAATCCAATCCCACACATGCACAGTTGTTCTCAATTCAGCTAATGCAACAATAGGATTTACAAAAAGCATTAACTAACTGTTGGCCCTCCAAAAGAAGAGAGAACTGCAGGATAAAGGAACTAACAAGCAAAGAGCACTACAAGAAGCGGGGGAAGCATTCATTAGGCCCTAAACAGTAGAGACAAGGTACTATAGCTCCCCCTAGCGTTCAAATAGAGCAAACATACCCTGCATTCGTATTCACATTAATAAAATTGCTCATGTACTGTTGCTTCTCCAACATGTAGGGTTGCCAGCTCTGGGCTGGGAAATTCCTGGAGATTTGGGGGGGGTGGAGCCTGGGGAGGGGAGACCTCAGCAGGGTACATTGCCATAGAATCCATCATTCAAAGCAGCCGTTTTCTCCAGGGGAACTGCTCTCTATTGCCTGGAGATCATTTGTCATTCTGAGAGATATCCAGGTCCCACCAGGAGGTTGGCAAACCTACCAGCATGGTCATGGTTAATTGGGACTTTTTATTGATGCCAAATTCTGCATGGCTTTAGACTTCCAGGTCAAGATGGCCTGGGTTAGAAAAACAGCATTGCGGAGGAGGGGTTGATACCCAGCACTGATATATCAATCAAAAAGCTTAAACTCAATTTAAAACTTAAGACCAAGTCATATCTCCTTATATGCTGATAGTTTAAGGTGAGTGGTTTTGTTAGACTGTAGTAGTAGAACTAAATCTGAGTTGTGTAGC